CTGAACTTTACTGCTTGTGCCATAATGGCTTTTTTTGGTCTAGGGATGATATCACAATATTATACTGTTGTTTTTGGGTCTGTCCAAGAAAATGCTCATAACGCCTGATATGAAAAGAATGGTTTCATTTTGTTTGTATGTGTGTGAGCATAAGATGTAATCAATAAAGTAATTATGTGTCTTAACATCTTTCTTTTGAAGAGAGGTTTGAATTCTCAGCATATTTGAGACGTATTTTGAGTACTACGAAGAATTAGGATGCACGTGGCTGACATGCACTCCAGAAACTAATTGGATATAAATGCAGAGAGAGCAAGCTGCCAGATTGTTAGATACGCCTAGCTGAAATTAAGGTTGTCCACTGAAATAGTTTCTTTAACAGTTCTTTTTTTTTTTTTTTTGTTGAACCTGTTCTGGAAATGTTTAATATGCCTTAATGATAATTTCTCAGGCTTTAATTTGTGAGTCTGTAGAACTGTACTGCTTTATGCTGACAAGTCATACTGATTGTTCTAATAACCGGGATTTGTTTTGAGTAGCTGTGTCTCATAAATGGACAACTGAGTGTACAGATATGTGCTCAAGAGGAAGCCTCATTGTTACTTTGACTCTGTGCTTCTGAAGCTTTGTGTTCTGGCCTCTTGCTGGGGATAAAGATTAGTAAGTAAGAAAAGCTCGCTGATCTTTCTGTTTGTTTTACAATTTCATGCTCCATCAACTTCTTAACCTTCAAAATTAGATGGTAGGTTGCTGTTTTACATGTTGCCACCAGGTGGCAACACAACTCTCTATAGCTGCCACTCAAAAAACTCACAGCTGCTTGGATGTGTGCTCCATTACATACGCTGTCTTGACAATATGCAGAACACACAGTGTGCTCTTTGTCTGCATTGCGTAAACACAGTAGGGGAATCATGGATGCAAAAATCTCTGGCAGGAAGATTGTTGGATAAAAATGGGAATATTAAGATAATTCTTGTGCTTTTTTATGTAATTTCTAGGAAGCAGGTTCTTGGGCTTAGACCACGTGTTTCTTAGAAAAATGTGAAGGATTTTGGCTTTACTATCATCACTGCCTGAAAATGTTAGAAACCAATTTATTATAGTTTCATGTGGTCGAACCAAACCCTTTGCCACTGATTCATCTAGTTATTTAAAATTCTCTGCTCACACAGCTTTGAGAGACACTGTCCGGTCCTGTGAGGCAGCAGATCTAGCACAGCACCGGCCTGCTGCTTACAGAATACAAACAATCGTGGTTTAGCTCACTATCGTCAGCAAGGCCTCCAGTCATAGGCGCACATCCCAGTGTAGTGATAGTAGACAATTTATCATCTGTGCAGTTCTGTGGGAAACTTACAAGCTGTTCTCCCTGTGTGCACATTTGCATACTGAGGAGAAAAATCCTTTGTGATGAGGCACATCCTTTTTTAGATTTACTTGTCACAGGGAATCAAGATGTGTAGTGTGTGAAATGTGCTGCATGTAGTTTAACTCCTGCCAGTTGGCTCTTTAAATCTCTTGCTTCGTCTTTATTTTTGTCTGTTCCACGGACACAACTGATGGACAGACC